AGCAGGGCTGCTGCGTCCCGAAGTAAGAATGGAACAGAGGGAGTTAATAGGGACCGGGATTGGGATGGGGGGCCGGGAATAGGGACCGGGAATTGGGATGGGGGACAGGGAATAGGGACCGGGAATTGGAACTGGAAATTGGGACTGGGGTTGGGATGGGGGACCGGGAATAGGGACCGGGAATTGAGACTGGAAATTGGGACTGGGAATTGGGACTGGGATTGGGATGGGTACACAGGGATTTTGGGATGAGGGACCGGGAATACGGACAAGGATTGGGATGGGAGACCGGGAACATGGACCGGGAATGGGGACCCGGGAACAGGAACTGGGGGACTGGGAATAGGGACGAGGATTGGGATGGGGGACCGGGAATAGGGACTGGGAATTGGGATCGGGAATTTGGATGGGGGACCGGGAATAGGGACCGAGAATAGGGATTGGGGACCGGGAATAGGGACCGAGAATAAGGATTGGGGACCGGGAATAGGGACCGAGAATAGGGACCGGGAATTGGGATGCAGGACCGGGAGTTGGGACCGGGAGTAGGGACCGGGATTAGGATGGGTACATCAGAATTTTTGGATTGCGGAACCGGGAAATGGGATCGGGAATAGGAATCGGGTCTGGGGCACCAGGATCGGACCGGGCGGTTTGGGGGTAGGAGGGTTTTTTTTTGGGGGGGTCCCATCGCGTCGCTCGGCCCCGAACGGACATCGGGATCGCGGTTCCTACCGGGAAACGGGAAGAGCGGAGCGATCCGGGCGGCGTTCGGGAGGAACGTCGGGTTTTGAGCCCATTGGATCCCGTACGAAACGGGACACGGAGCGGTGCCACCCCCGGGATTTCGTTACCGGTTCCTTTACCGGGGAGGCGGAGGAGAAACGAAGGGGCGGCGGGGACGGAACGGCTGCGGTGGGTTTGGGGTCGGATCGTTTCCTAACGCCGCTCCGCTCCGCCCGCAGCCGTCGAGATGAAAACGGAGGAAGCTCCGTCGTGTCTGCAGCCGGGAACGGCGATCCGAGGCTTCGGTCAGTGCCCCCCAGAAATCCCCCATAAACCCCCCCCATAAACCCCCCCTAAATCCCCCCATACCCGATCCCCGTGCCCCCCACCCTCCCCCAAATCC